TTCTTAAACACAAATTATCATGTATATTATAAAAATGCAAAATGTAATTAGAAATTTGCTTTATCTGTAAAGTGTAAAAAAAAAACTATTTTTTACTGTAAATGGAACTTTCCATTTTATTTCCTGTAAAAACGTAAAATGTATCTTTTATTTCCCGTAACCTGTACCAGCTACCTCCCTGCCCCCCCCCCCTCACATATGACAACGTTGGTATACATAGTTATTGAGTGACGAAGCACAATTAACTCATCCACACGCCAATGGAGTAATGTATTGTCGACATTTCTTGGCCATATAACAATTATTTCTGCTAAATTACATATAGTGTAAATTGTAGCTTCGTAGTCTGGTGAAATGTGATCAGGACAGCTGCCATGCTTCGAAGGGTGTTTATGTGCCAGTCACACACTTCCGTCAAAATGAAATGTTTGAACAGTTGGACGTGACTTGCTACTGCAACCTATATTATCCCAGTACATCACGTGATGGTTTACAGCGCAATGACCGGTTCGATTCTATTTCAGTGTTATGCCGTCACATTGCAGACGCCTATTCAATCCTTTGTACTTGCTTTGCCCACGGTAAACTAAAATGTATTGAATTAGTGGATTGCTTTGATTGCCATGTTTGCTTAACCTCCAACGGTGTTCAAGAGGCTATGTGGCGGGGTTGTCTCAGCATAACCCATCGTCATTGCCCACCCACCTCCAAGTCTGTCACAACTATTCCCACACATGAATATAATAGCATTAGCGTACACAGTGTGATATCTTAATTGTAATTACAGAACATTCTGAAATTGAATAACAAGATGTCACCTGGTGATCATAACTACAAGGCGCCCAGAGCGTTAAAGCCAACACAATAATTTAAATGCAATCGTGTCTATGTAGAACATTGGATTACGTATCGACATGAACTGTGACCTCTGTGACCTAACGCATTGTTTCACTGGCCTACACTATATTTACATACTCGTCCGTACCACATACTATAGCGAATCGAATTACTGACAAGATAACTTCCATAATATATGTTGTTATATAATATTACGAGCGGATCAAATTTAAATTGCTTGTCTCTCAATGAGACCGTGACCGGGTCGTGTGGGTATTGCGTCGTAATGTTTTAAAGCGCGGTGGTCATCGCGCAGCGCGTGTTCGAATTTCATGTGAAATAAACAATGTATTTTACACGCGTTGTATACGTCGCTATGAGTCCCATATCGAACAGGACGCGGCGCGACGACTGCCGCCCTTTAATACAGTACTAAATGCACCACCTTATGCAGGAACGTAATATGAAAAAAAAATCTTTGTTCAGTACTGCAAGAAACAAATCAATTTACCAAGATAACGTTATCTTTCTCGTATTCTTTGTTCCAACTTCCAGCGTTGGTGATCGTTTTACGCGCGTGCGGTAACAAATATGTAGATTCACACCCGAACACGACCCGAATAGCCGAATAGCAAATGAACGTATTGCAAGGACATAAAACTCAGCCTGTCCCATGAAACACAATTTAAGATGACACGTTTTTCTTAATTATTCAATACGGTTTGGATCTACTGTTGTCTGCCTCTGCATTTTATCTGACTCCGTATAGCACATGGTTAGGTGTGGATATATAGTTGTATTTAAAGCGCGGTGGTCGTCGGCAGCGCGTGTTCGAATTTCATGTAAATAAACAATGTATTTTACATGCGTTGTATACATCGCTATGAGTCCCATATCGAACAGGACGCGTCGCGACGACTGCCGCCCTTTAATCTGTATAATAATAGATACCGATATCATACGATTAAAAGTAAATTGATATGTGTTTTTAATGTGACCCTGGAATAACTGTCGTCTAAATGGCCATAACTAATCATTATCATAAGTTTGTATATTTTTCGTTTCGAATTATTTTTTATGGTTGTAATCTGCAGACAAAATTAACAAATTTGCATAGCTACGTTTGAATACGTACCCTCTATATCCATTGTGACAACTGGTTTTTCATTGTAGCTGTAAACAATCATTCCGTTAGCTCCGGCTTGTATCGACCATTTCGCTTTGTTAGAAAACGTACACCCGCCTCTTTTAACAAAAGCAATCCACGGATGATCTTGAACATTGTTCAGTATCTGTGTACAGCCGTCGATTGGCACACTTCTGTGTAACCACCCCTGAAAACTTCCAATGAGCCCTGTCCCAAATCGACCGACCTCCCGCATGGCTGTCGTATTTTGCAGTCCGTCCGTTCCAACGTACGATACGTTAATCCAGGCAGTGATTACGGGCCATACGTCGTACTTAGAGTCTGTATGTATAATCGCAGTTTTAATTGTTGAATTAGGAAGTAGGTTGACGCTGTCATAGCCATAGGGTGGAGCGAATACACTCGTTGTCAGCGCCGTGTAGAGTAAAATCGACAGCAGCGACTTGGCGAAAGATTGGTGCATTTCAAACATTTCCTACCTACGTCAAAAAAGTTGTCTCGGAATCAAAGTTAAATAAATGGGTCGTGATCGCCGCGTCATGACTGAAACGTCTCTCGTTGTTCTCGTTGTTGTCACTGCTTGCTCTGCCGTTTGACGACTGCATTGTGTGGCTGGATTATCATGACATATCATGTGACAACACATTCGTCACACCGGAACGGCTATTTGAAGAGTTTGAAATCATAAAAACGAAAGAACAATTGCAGCAAGGCTATTGAGGCCATCTTGTACGTATCACGTACATTATTATGCTGACAGGGAACGCTTTCAGTCTGCGGGACATTGTACTGTGTCTTCGTTTGACAGTGAACGTAAAAGATAATAATCAGCTGGAAAGACCCCAGCCTAATGTAATTGTATAACGCCCCACCAGATTTATAACTATATTTGGAGAGTGGCATACATACTCATAATTATATTAAGAGGGAGACACTGGAGAAGCAAGGTTAGGATTATAGTTAGGGGTGAGGAGCCCTAAGTCTTAAAAAAATAATTTATTATATTTTTTCAAACCTGTAAACAAAATCATGTTGTATCTAGGGTCATTGGGACAAACCTAACATACCTGAAGACAGATACAATGATGACTTTGAACTTTGACAGAAAGAAGTCATATTGCATCTGTCCTTATACATGCAATTCAATACTTTACGCACCGTAGTGTAACAGAGTTGAAACACATTGGATAGATACAGCCGGTGAGTAAGGTCAAAGTAGACCCAAGTAAGCCGTCCCACAGTCTAAATGTGTTAATCCGCCATTAAAAAAACAGAATGGTTTTCGCTGAAATTATGTATTTAACTATTTGTTTACATATATATATATATTATTTTATTTTATTGTGTTATATTTGTAGCCAAGGCTCAAACTTACGAGGTGCACATGCAGCAATATCTTTTATGTCATGGAATGTGCATGGTCTGTTATATAAACAA